TTCAAAACTCGTATCAATTACAATTTTATTTCAAAACATCAGAGTGTCCCATAAAAATGATTGATAGAGTGCACACCGCGCCATCAAGCCTTGCCCTTGCCCTTGGGCTCAGAATTACCTGAAACAAATCCACAAACTGTAAGCTAATACTTAGTCAATCCCCCAAAGCATACCCCATACACAATCCACATAACACATAACATATTAGCTATAAAGATACACATATCACATAAGCCATGCATAAAACATATAAGGAAGTCATGGAAACCTTCCATGGTCTTACACCTAGTGCCACTGGAACCCCCACGTGGTCTTAACTGCCTGCCATGGGAACCCCCACATGGTCTTCCTGCCTTGGGAACCCCCACAAGGTCTTCACTACCAAACAAGACATAATGCAAACTATACATACAGATATACTAGGATGCCATGGAAACCCTCCAAGGTCTTATATCAAATGTCACGGGAACCCCCACGTGGTCTAAGACTACTGCCACGGGAACCCCCGAGGTCTTCCATGCAAATGTCATACTAACATAACGCATAATCAATCAACAATCCACATAACATAGAATGGGCCGGCCTTGGTGCCTTAGACTCAGTGGTATGGTAAGAAGACTCACCTATCACGAATGCTGTGCTAACAAGATAAGATCCAATAAGTCCCAACGCACAACTCCAACTCAACTTCCTATAAGCATCATAAGATTAACTTGTCATAATCCCATAATTACCCTCAAAGTCAACCCTGGTCAAAGTCAAGGTCAACAGTCCATGTTGACCCAAATTCGTCGAGTGCATCTAGTAACTCGTCGAGTTCCTACAAAGTCGAGAAAACCTAAACAAACCCTAGCCAACTCGCCGAGTTGTTTCATCAACTCGACGAGTTCACTTGATATCTAGTAGACGGGGAAACCCAATCCGACTCGTCGAGTTGCTAGGGAAACTCATCGAGAACCCCTCCATGTTTGCTTATTATGATGATACACCGAATGCAGGGACTCCAGGGCTTAGATCTGAAACCCTAAGGTGTCTAGAAGGATAAAGTTTCCAACTTTACCCTCTAGAACCACTCAGAATGCTCTAAGGCCCTTATCAAAGGTTGGAAAGCGTAAAAGCTTTGCCATGTGGTCCAAGACTCTAGGGATCTGGAATCCCTCCTTTCCAAAAGAGTTTCTAGTCCTCAAAACGTTCCAAAGATGGAGGCTTTATAGACATGCATGTTCAATGCATGTCTTTAAGTCAAAATGGCCAAAAAGGGGAAATATTCTCTAAAAACCCTTGCATGGCATCCTTGCTTGACCAAAAGCTAGATCTAGCCCACCTTGAGACCATTTTGTCCTGGAGATCCATAAAGTTGCAAACTTTATGAACCCCATGCATGCAATCAACAAGAATGATAGGAAATGAAGAGTAAACTCAAGATCTAGCCATATTCTAAGATAAAAATCGAATCTTGAAGACTTACAACAGTCCACAAGATGGTCAAGCTCAAGAGTGATGGCTTGGTTTGCTGGATCTTCTCCTTCTTCTCACTATCTTCTTCTTCTTAAGCTCCACAAGTCACTTTAGCTCACAAAATGAAAGAGAATGGGGATTAAGGTTTAGCACAGACGTTCTTAGGGTTTGGAGGCTGATGTAAGGTCAGCCTCAAGGTTCTTAAGGAGATTATATAGGGTGCAAACCCTAAAATTAGGGTTTTTCCTTTACAGTACCTACTCATCGAGTTAGCCTTCCAACTCGTCGAGTATGGTTTAGATCCCGCGTCCTCGAAATGTTCTCTACTCGACGAGTCGGAGCTCCCAACTCGTCGAGTCCCAGCACCAAAACCGTAAAACTTAGAAAATTAAATAATACCTGGAACAGGTGTTACATTCTGATAATATGTCGAATGCAGGTGAAGGTTCTAAAATAGATGAGATATTCGAATATGCACCTTTGGATTTCGATCCTGCATATCCACCGATGGATAGATGGACTCGAAGCTACCCAAAGGAACAGGTTCTTGGTGATCCTTATGTTGGAGTTATGATGCGTACACAAATTCGAGCTAAGAACAAGATACTGAATGTTCACCGAGAATTCTGTATGTTCCTATATATGCTTCAATAAAGCCTAACATGCCATCTAAGTCCCTGTCTTCCAGATTTCCCAGAAAGAGGGGATACCCCAGAACGATGTATGAAAGAGACTCAATGTGTTTATTTTTAAAATGGAACCGAAAACAGTTAAGGTTGCATTGGAAGATCCTGATTGGATTGTTGCAATGCAATCTGAACTTGCTGAATTTGAACGAAATCAGGTTTGGAGACTAGTCCCAAAACCTGATGATGTTTTGGTCATTGGTTTAAAACGGATTTTCAAAATTAAAACTGATAAAGAAGGCAATGTTGTACGAAACAAAGCAAGACTGGTTGTAAAAGGATATTCGCAACAAGAAGGTATTGACTATGAGGAAACCTTTTCCCCTGTCGCAAGACTCGAGGCTGTTCGAATTTTCCTTGCTTATGCAGCACATAAAAATTTTGATGTGTACCAAATGGATGTCAAGTGCGCTTTTCTCAATGGGGTATTGGAAGAAACTGTTTATGTTGAACAACCACCAGGTTTTTTAAATGACAAATTTCCTGATCATTGTTATATTCTTGATAAGGCAGCATATGGCTTAAACCAAGCACCTCGAGCCTGGTATGCAACTCTTACCAATTTCTTGAAACTTTCCAAATTTAAACAAGGTTCATTTGATCCTACTCTATATCGTAAGAAAGCAGGGAATCATCTGATGCTAGTTTAAATTTATGTAGATGATATTATTTTTGGCTCAACTGACCCTTCGTTGTCTAGGGAATTTGAGAATATGATGAAAATCCAGTTCGTAATGAGCATGATGGGTAATATATATAATTTTCTGGGATTGAATATTCGTCAAAGCAGGGAATGTATTTTCATAAATCAAGAGAAGTACACTCATAAATTACTTGAGAAATTTGGCATGACGAATAGTTCGAGAGTGAAAGTACCGATGGCAGTTGGCACACGCTTAAATCTTTCGTTGGATAAGCCTGTTGTGGATCTCACTTTGTATAAAAGCATGATAGGTTCTCTGTTGTACTTAACTGCAAGTAGACCTGATATCATGTTTGTTGTTTGTAATTGTGTCAGGTATCAGTCGAATCCCAGAAAACCCCATCTTACAGTGGTGAAAAATATATTTCGATATCTCAAAGGAACTACTTCATTGGGATTATGATACCCTTCGAAGACTGGATTTTTCGTACAAGCATTTTCTGATGCAGGCCTTGGTGGGTGTCAACTTGGAAGAAAAAGCACAACCGGTGGATGTCAACTTTTGGACGGGAAGCTTGTAAGCTGGCAATCGAAGAAACAAACATGTGTTTCGATTTCCATAGCCGAAGCAGAGTATGTTGCTGCTGCATCTTTCACTTCTTAAGTCTTAGTCGGAATTCTAAAAGTCAAAAAATTTGGTTACAAGAAAATGGACAAAGTTGTCAAATATATTTTTTTAAAATACACTTATTTTCATTACCAATTTGTGAACAATTTATGTAGTTTTGTCACCAATTAGTGAATTTACATTGTCAATTTGCAAGCAATGGCCGATAGAAATTATTTTGGTTGGAGCGGAGAGGATAGGGATTCCATCTGTGAGCCCATACTTGAATTCAATCAGATCGGATTCACAACACTTGCATCAATGGTACTCCTACCACAAACATCATTGTTTGTCTTCAGACTCGGTTCTTTTGCATTACCCATTCAACTCAATCAAATGAAACATTTCAATTCCTAAGTCGATAAACTTTACTCCTAAGGTAGATAAAATGATTATAAATAAGAAATCAGTTCCAAAACAAATTATGGTCACATGGTGTAATTTTCAGGCTCATTAAATCTTCCTCCACTTGATATTTTTGGAAAATCATTTTATACATTTTACATTCTTTAAAATTATTTTACATCTGATTTAGCTAAAAGTGGTATCGAAGGGGTTAAACAAGAACTTCCTCAAGTAATTTATGAAATTATTGGCACAATTAAGGCAAGTACTTCTTTGCAACCATAGTTTTCATAAAAAAAAGATTAATAATAAATTTTGTTACAGATACTTGTATGATGATTTTTATGTAGGAATTGCATGGGTTAGGAGGTTGTACGTTTTCTGTACAAAATTTGGCACCCATAGGATGTTACCCCGCATTCTTGGTGTAACTTCCTCATGGTTATAAAGATATTGAAGAAATCGGGTGTATGATTTTGTACAATGATGCAAAATTTGAATACAACAATGTGCTCCAAGACGCGCTAAGCCAAACGGGGCAAGAACTCCTTCATTCCAATGTTATTTATGTTAACTCAAACGAAGCTTTGCTAGAGCTTTTCTAAAATCCCACTTTTCATGGTATATAACTCTTTTTCATAATATTATATTTCATTAAAATTTGTACTTGTGTATTAAAAATGAACATGTTCCTGGATGAAGGTTTTAAGTATTGTACAATAGCTTGTTGTTGAAATGGGGGATGGTTCATATAGTTATAATCCTCAAATGTTTTGTTGGAACTCCAAGTTTGTAGATGGACAAAATCTGAAAGCCGAAAACTATGTGAGTTGGGATGGAGTCCATATTACGGAGGCTCCAAGCAAGATTGTTATTGATGTGATCATTTGTGGTTGTGATGACATCACATATCCGTCTTTTAAGATTGGTTGTTAACTTATGGGAATAGTTTTTTTTGTTCATTTGGAAAATCATTATAGAATAAATAAACTGGATCAATAAAGAAGTAAAGTAAGCGAATTTATATGACATCCATAGAGTTGAAAGTTCCTGCTCAAAAATTTGAAAGCAGACATGTAAATATGGCATCAAATATATAGGTCGTTCAAAAACAATAATGTATCATGTGAAAAATAGATTTACATAATATATGTTAGCGTCTATCTGCTTTTTAACGGATCTAATACAAACTTACAGAAGCTCAAGGGCAATAATCGTTCTCAAGAACGGGTTGAGTCCTTATCCCAAAAGCCGAAGGCATTCTACTATGTCCGACATATGTTGTATGCAAAACCTCAGTTTTCTCAGACTGTAACTCCATCATTTGAATTTTTTTCTTTTCGAAAAATCTAATTACTTTAAATAAAACATATCCACACAATATTAATCCAATGCTTCCAATTCCAAATCCACACACCCACCATCTCCATATATGATGTGATGGTGGGGCCCGCACGACAATTGCAAAGTATCCTTGGTCCCACACGTCACAAGTGTGGGACAAGGACATGTTTGTTATTGTCGTACTCCCATTTGAGTAAAACTTGACACATTGCCCTTTAGGAAGCCATAGAGAAGGGAATCGAACCATAATAGGGCGCCTAACAAGAGCAAGTTTTAGTTTGGTTGTTGTAGTTGTGAAATGACCATTTTGACCTCGTGTGTATGTTACACCATAGGCACTAAAACCAAGGATCGGGGTGACAAAAGTGTAATTTGGCATGTTGTAGTAATAAGACGACCAATTTCCTAGATTTGAAAAGACTATATCTAACCAAGTAACATTTGGCTCTGGGATAATCCTCGAAGGAACATGGAAATAACCCAAATTAGCTCCTTGAGCCCAAACACTCGAGCTTTGTAGGTGAACAACCGAAACTTCCATTCCTGTAAAATTTGAGGGTAGGGGTACTTTATATAATGTACCTACATGAGGATGCATTGGTATTGATCTCTTAGCGCGATCTTGAAAAAATTCATCCAAGGAATTACGGTTGTTGTTGTTGTCCGTGGCTTGGATTAAGAGTAACGAACATATACAATAAAAAGCAAATTTTGTGATGAAGCTTGTTTTAGACCCCATCAACGTCAACACAAAACGTTGTTTTTGCCAAGTTCCTCATGCGGGCATTGTTTTTTTTTCGGTACAAATCTTGAGGAGAACCGGGAAAAAGGAACTAGAAGAAAATCTTGATTACGAGGTCTCGTAACTTCTTTTAGAGTGTTTCAGAAGCCAAATTCAAAATGTTGCAATTAAATGATAAGAAGATCGGGATGAATGTTTTGATTCTTTTTCAAAGTATTTGCCAAAAGGCTGAGTATGTTTTTGGTTGTTCGGATGTTGAGGAAAAATTTAGAAATGAAATACTTGGTAGAGTTTGTGGGGGTGAGGTTCACTCCGACCGAGTCTTTTGCCACCTTAAAATAGACTTCTGTGACCATGACTCGACTACTATTTTTAAAACAATATCATGGATCTATTTGTAATAATCTTAAAAGTATAGTAATATGATAAGTTGTATAAACTTTGCAAGTACAATTGTTATAAATATATTCACCGTTTTTTGAAGTATAAAAAATTATTATAATTTATGCAACTATATTGGTGTTTTTCATCTTTGTCATTATTTATACAAATATTATTTTGTATTTAATTTTTTTTATGAACTAAAAGATCTTTTGCTTTTTTGCTCATTTTTATACCATCATATCTAGATTTTAAAAGGGATTTTAAATATATTAATTAGATAAAACTATTACATAATCAATCACTCCACAAAATATTACAACTTCAAACTATCGTATAAAATCACAAATATAATATTGTCCAATAAAAATATCCAAACTAATGCGTATCAAATTTTCTTCTTCAATCATTCATCTTCAACCCCTTCTCCGACAGTAAGAGATCACTGATATGTGATCAGTTATACTAGTAATTTGAATATTTTATATATATTACTTTGAATATTTTTGTTGGACAATATTTTATTTGTGAATTGATATGTATTAATTTGAAGTTGTATTTATTTTGTTAAGTGATTGGATGTTTAATAATTTTATCTAATTAATATACTTAAAAAAATGATTTAGAATTTTTTTTTTCTTAAAATAGGGTGGATCTTTCCTTCATAAAAGGAATTAGGTACTAGAAAAATTAAATATAAAATGAGTTTGTGATGTGAAGAATGACAAAAAAGAAAGAAAAAAAAAGTTAGTTTACGTCATTTAAATAGAGCCGCAAATGTAAGAAAAATAAGATAGTTTAAAAGTTTTCTAAATGGTTAATTAAAAATTTAAAATGGTAAGTAAGAATCAGCCCCTATTAAAATGGTTAATTAAATAAGGGTAAATTTAGAAATATATATGAATTTAAGTGGATGGATTAAAAGTTGCAAGTAGAATCAGCCCATATTTGATATGGTAGGGAGTCACTTGTTTAAGAGTACATTTAATAAAAGGTGGAGGATTGTTGAGGTAGTGAGTTTATATTTTATGACAATGTATTATAGACTAGCTGAGACGGCAAGCAATCCGGGTGGTCATCCGGGGTCCATGTTTTTAATCGGTCTAAAATTCGTAGAGTATATGATACATATATACAGAGATATAAAAAAATAAAAATATCTAAAATTGTTAGGAGAAATATATATATATATATATATATATATATATATATATATATATATATATATATATAAATTAGTTGCTTTTATAATGTAATGACCATATTTGTGTTTTTTAATATTAATAGTGAATTTTATACCAATGTGTTTATTTTCAATTTAATTTTTATTATATTTATGACTTTCGGAGGCTAATTTTTTCTTTTATCATGGACCCATTATATTTTTGGACCGACTTTGATTATAGATGCTACATGTTACAATAATGTAGTAGATAATACTTTAAATAGAAGGGTTGAGCATAGATGGGTACCCCTTAATTTGGTTGGAGCAGGAACTGGAACCGACGATTCCTGTAAATTTGGAACCGAAACTGGTCTAGGTAGTTCTTATACTTTTGTAACTAGTCTCAAATCAAGCCCTCAGAAGATGCGTCATCTACTATTGATGCCGATGAGATGTTAACCGGCCTATAAGAGAAGGTGAACACGATATTCAGACATCAAAATTGCTCAATATCCTTTTTCACTTCCTATATCCCCATTATATATGCTTCTTTTTTCCAATTGTTTCTTCTTTACTTTGTTGTCATTTAGTGGGATGCACTTGAAAACAAGTCCACATTCATATTTAGACGAAGAAGATCCAGTTCTTGCAATTTGGCTACCCTCAATTCTTATCGGTACCATCAACTCCTTGTCATTGGTAAGTATTAGCAATAAGATTCATTTGAAAACCATATCACATATTTATTTTTGAACTATGTTACATTTTCTCATTTTGTTTTTCATGGTTTCATAAGATTTTAGCTTCCAAAGATCTTGGAGTCGGACTTATATATGATTTGTATACCGATATTTTTCTTCAACTCTTCAAGAGCTTTGAGCATTATTATTTAGAGGGCTCAAATATGATATACAACAAAGTTAGAGTGTAAATCTACTATAATAAATGAAGATTCATTTTGCCACATTCCGATCTCTCATGAGTTTTGATACTTGTCATTTTGTGATATTTTTAAAAATAAATAATATTTATGTGTAAATTTCTGGGTTTTTTCAAATTTTACATTTAAAATGCCACATAATACTTATATTTATATATTTAAAGTATTAAATGTAATAAATGTGATAGTAAACTTGCAATTAATACGTTTTCTTCATTTCTTATTTTGAAATTTTATTTTAAAAAATACTTATTATTTACCCTTTCATATTTAATATTTTTTTTAATCAACCCGTGTTATATACGGGTTTTACACCTAGTACATATTAAGCAGAAAATAATATCAATCAGGACTATCAGGGTGAAGATATAGCTTGTTGAGTTTCAAGGCTTTTTTTTTTTACTTTTAAAAATTATTATTATTATTATTATTATTATATATATACACACACACACTAACAGTTTACCCGCGCCAAACGACGGGTGCGCGTAGTTTTTTCATAAATTAATTTCTAGAGGCGATTAGTACTTTTGTGCGATAAATTGTTTCTTTCGTCGAATATTTTCGACCGACGATTAGTTTTGTTTTGGCAAACTGATTTGGTTTAAAAAATAAAAGACGTTTTGTATTATGATTAAAAATACGGCAAAGTTGGTGTTTTGTGTTAAATATAAAAGTTCGGTTGTTTTGACTAATATATAAAAGTGTATTGTTACTTTGGGTTAAAAATAAATATATGTTGTTTTTTTGGGTAAAATGACTAACTTTATAAAGAAACATGCCATTAATATGGTGGACGGCTATTAGTACGTTATTGTTTAGCGCACATTGGTATTGGTCGTTTTGCATAAACTATTCGTCGTTTTTTGGGTAAAATGACTAACTTTATAAAGAAACATGCCATTAATGTGGTGGACGGCTACTAGTACGTTATTGTTTAGTGCACATTGGTATTGGTCGTTTTGCATAAACTATTCGTCGTTTGGCGTTTTCCGGATATGTATACATGAACATATACATAAATAAAAGATGTTGATTTTTATTTGCAAAAAATAGCATGGTATTTTAACTTACGCAAATTTGGGGGAGTTAGTTAACCAAGTTTGAGTAACTACTTTAACATATAAACATATAACAAACTTTCAACAAAGCAATTGACAATTGAGTGTCAAACACATCGTGCACACTCATACATCGACTTGCATAAACTTTGCAGTAAATGTACTTATTTTAGTACCAAGCTCAAGATAAATATTACTTTTACATATTTCGGAAATCAATTTTACACCATGTTTTCCCGGCAAGATCAACAGATAATTTTCATAGTCGGGATTAAAAAATAGAAAAAAAACCAACAATAAGTATGACATCAAAAAAGTTTTGCTTCCAACGTGCAGATTTATTGCTTGAAATGGCATAAGAATAAGAGCTCGAAACTGCAACATAGATACAAATTAAATATGGTGTGTGTGTATGACACCATATTCAACAAACCAAATTGAATGTCAGGCACATAACTCGATGCATTATGCTAAACTACAAGAGTAATAAAGTCAGGAAAACAAATAAAAACAATAAACTGTTATTTTTATGGAAATAACTTGAACCCACAGGCAAAAAACAACTTACTTGCAGGTATATGATGTTCAGCTGAATAAAAAGTAAAACTTGTTTAAAATTATCAAATTAAATAATTTGATTTTGCGCCAGATGGTAAGCATGGAACAATCACTGATATTGTTTTTTCAAGCTTCTCCCATATTGGAAAAAGAAAAATCACTTACGTTTTTCACTATAAATATGTATTAGAGGACTCTAATTACATATCAAGCTTTGAAAAATTGCGACATATTCCTTTCTTTATCGATTTATAAAAATATCGCCTTCGATTATATAGATGTTTGTTCAACAAATTATACCGGCTTTCAAAACTTCTATGAAATTCATTATACTCGAGTTTGTAAAACGTGAAAATAGATACATATCCTAACTTTTTGAAATTGAGTTTTTCTCTTAGAAGAAAGGTTTTATGATAACTTAGATAGTTGTACGGCCAATTTATCAAGAGTTTTTAAGTACACACCAAAAGCTAATCGTTCATGATTCTTGTAACACTTTTAAGTATATTTTTTTTATAAATTTGATGATTGTTTTCGATCTTGTTTTGGTCTTTTAAATTAGTTTTAGTTATAAACAACTAAACCAACTGGATTCTTAGTTAAAAAATTACCTACATTGTTTTTTTCGATCATCGGCTTTAGTGAAACCTATCTTCTAAGGGCGAAAATAGTCAGGTCCTAGTGCTTGCTTACA